GAAGCTTTTACAATTCTATAAAAAGTCACACTTGCTTAAAAAAGATAACAAATGGTGTAATCATCATAAATCTGGCTATGATGTAAACTATTATTTCTCAAAAGAAACTAGAGCTATAAATAACTGTGATGTTTTACAATAACAGTAATCCCAGCCATTATAGAGAGGAAATGATAGAAACCATCTACTGAGAACCAATGATCTACTCTTGCAGAGTCTTTCATAAACATCACCGAATTTCATGCGCATAGCAATACCCAGGGTAAGTCATACTCATTCCCATAACCATCAAAACCAGTTAGGCTCCAAGAAGTGAAATGATTTGCCCTGGAAATCATGGCATCTAAAATCAAATCTATTCTTCATTCCATTGAGGCAATATGAGGCATTTAAGACAAAGTCATCAAACACAAATGGCAATGTACTGGTCATCTTGTGATTATAGATCTTTGTTGAGATCAAGCTGATCATTTAGAAATTTAGAATTTAGAAATGATTTCTGCTTCATTAGGTAATCTATTTTGGAAAAAAATCATTTATGTTGTCAAAGTACTTAAGAATTATGATGTACTTTCCTGTGCATTTTCTCTCATATTTTTCCACGTTTGTAGTCTCTCTATACAAATAAGACACTAGTTTGTATTACAATTATGTCAGTAGATGCTGATCATAGCTATACACATGTCACCTTCCCAGATATAAACACAGAAAGTGCTCAGTAAATGGTTAGTAACTGAGCAAATGCCTTTAAAAAAAAAAGGCACCAGTCCTTGTTACTGAGCCATCATAAGTAACTGCTAATGCCAAGCAGAGAAAGTCTGAGCCTTTAAATTGATGAGAAGAGCTCAAGGAAAGGTCAGAGGGCAGAAGAAGATGAACCACAGAACCCATGGAACGACTTTGAAAGCATTGACTACTTAAAACACCCGTGACTTAACCACTGCTCACGGGGCTGATCTGTTATATTTTAAACTGTCATTCTGGTTTTTTTTTCAATTTGTTTTTATCTTTAAGTAGTTACACAAGAGTTGCCATTCAACAAAGTAGTATATGACAACAATGCATCTCGAACAATGTCATACCCCCACCCCTCTCAACCCCATCCTTCCTTCATTGCTCTTAATTTTACAGAATATGCATTGGATTTTATGACTGTATCCGCCTCTTCCTCTCTTCATTCACCTGCCTCCCTCCCTTTGACCCCACTCCACCACTTTTGAGTACCCAATTCCTGCAACCATCGCTCTTGAACTGTGCAGTTTCTATGCATTGGATCCCATATTGAATACAGTTTGGTAAAAGCAAACCTGTATCTAATAATAATGATGACGATAACAATAACAACAACAATAATAATAATAAAGGAAAATAGCTGTTTTCAACATTCTATCAGCTTTGTAACAGCCTTGAACATAGTGGTATTTCTACAACTCTATTAACTACTTGATCAATTAAAGAGAAAAGTTAAAACAAAAAAGAATTTTAAAAGCCCAGGATGTTACTTGAGAAATGAAAGCAAAATTAATTACTCATCAATCAGCTATCTTTCTGTACTTACAAACACCATAGATGCATTCTTTTTGTTTTTTGGGTCCGGTCATGAGGCCTGAACTCTGGGCCTGGACGCTGTCCCTCAGCTCTTCAGCTCAAGGCTAGCACTCTACCACTTGAGCCACAGTGCCACTTCCGGCTTTTTTCTTTTTTGCTTATGTGGTGCTGAGGAATCCAACCCAGGGCCTCAGGCATGCAAGGCAAGCGCTTTACCACTGAGCCACCTTCCCAGCCCTATAGATGTATTCTTAAACAGACTAAATTATCTGTAACCTTCTGCTTTGCTCCAATAAACAAGAGGTGTACAGATATTCTAGGGGATCAAAGACACCTGTGCAAAGACAATTTGTGATTAGTTTTGCCTTTACTTTTTAGCCAGGAATATTTAGCATAAGTGATATTTATAACGATGCTTTAATAGAAACATAGAATCTTCTGTGTTCTTCTCAATCTTACCACATGCATCCATGAAGCACGTCTATAACTCTTGTAAAGCTGGGAGGCCATGAAGGCGTAACTGAGCAATATTGTTGGAGGAGCTATTGCATCCAGAGGAAACAAGATTAATCTGCTATGCAGAAGTGCAGGGGCAGAGCTACTGCTCTAAGGTACAATCTGGAACTAGGACCATAGACTTAACTATACATTTGTAAACTTTTAAATTATCTCCATCTGTAGTAAAAGGACTGACAACTACTATTCAGGGGGAAGAAAGAAGTAACGTATCTTGGTGAATCTACTATTATAAAATCCTTTTCTAAAAGAAGGTGCTGATTGCATTTGATGCTGAACTCTCCTTTTAAGAGTATGAATAAGCTCTGAGCATGGTGGGAAACCTAGAATGGGATCCGAATTAGGCCAGTGAAAAATGTGGTTCTATTTTTATTGAAAGTAGAGAGATCATCTTCAATTTAAGTCTCAGTATCATAATGCTGACATATGACTTACACATAGGCAATTTCTCTCAGGGTGGAGGGTCAGTCAATTAATCCATTGCATCACCTACTCACCTATGTCTGTGCCAGCTGTTTGGGAGAACTTGAAAACAGGATGGAAAATTCTTAATATTCTTTGACAGGACAATATTTGTACTTAGAGTCTGGCCATTCCAGAATGATGCTTCCCTGTTAGAATGGCCAGTCAATCTCACTGCATGATGGAAAACAGATGTAAGATTAGGAAGCAAAGTAGTTTTCCAGATCCTTGGTCCCAGCATGCTGCAGAGCTGAGCCCCAGAGTTAACCAGCCAAGTGCTGACACATGTCTTACAGCAAAATATCCCTCACAGCCACAGTTCAAAGGCCTCGCTACCCTCCAGGGCAATTAATACAGCATCACGTTCAATGGTGCTTGAACCAAATCCATTGAATCCTCAGGGGAGAAATAACGAAGCAATCACAGAGCTCAGACAAGAGCAGCAAGCAATAGGGGCTAAAGTTTCAGTCCCTGAAAATGGAGCTGTGCCTGAAAGCTCGGGTTGAGTTACAGGTTACAGACTTACTGGAAGAGAATTGGGCTCAGATCGGGCAATCTACTTCTAGGACAGTATTTGTAAAATAGCAGAAAAACAGAAAAACAATTAATGGGAGAAGCAAAGAAGGAAGGAGAGAGGGAGGAAGAGAAAGAACAGAAAAAGGAAGAAGAAAGAAGGAGAAGAAGAAGAAGAAGAGGAAAGAAGGAGGAGGAGGAAAGGGAGGAAGGAAGGAAGAAAGGGAGGAAGGGAGGAAGCGAGGAAGGAAGGAAGGAAGGAAGGAAGGAAGGAAGGAAGGAAGGAAGGAAGGAAGGAGGGGAGAAAAGGAGGAAGGGAGAAAGAAGAAGGAGGAGGAGAAGGAAGAGGAGTAAAAGAAGGAGGAGGAAGAATGGAAGGAAAGCAGAGAAGGCAAAAAGCAAGGAAGAAAGAGGAAGTAGATAGAATGAAGAAGAAAACCTACCTATACATATTGAAAGTTCCCATTGGTGTGTTCTACCAGAGGAAATGAAAAGAAGACCTTCTTTCTAAGACCTAAAGCATCTTGCAGAGCAGATGAATTTAAGAATGATACTTATTCAAGGGCTTAAGTACTTCTTTCCTTAGGATTCTGGAAGCAAGCAAACCACCTGGGCAAAATATGAAAACAGAATAAAACTTAAACCATGACAAGCTCTATCTCCCAACCTTTAACTTCTTTAAAATTTATTTTTCTTCTTCTTGCTGTTGTTTGTAAGTAGTTGTCCGAAGGTGGTACAGGTCCATAAGTCCCGTTATGAGTACAACGCTTCTTGGTCAATATCACTGCTCCTTTTGTTCTTTTCTGTTTTCCTCTCCTGACCCTATTCTCCATTTGTAAGGAATGAAAAGACTTGGGAAAACATCATAATAAGTGAAATAAGCCCGACCTAAAGAAACATAGGTCCCATGTTTTCCCTTATTTGCAATAATCAGTATATGTCTAGAATAATCTTAGCAGATGAGCAGAATAGCTTAATAGCTACATACATATAAGATGCTAAGTGAAATGAACCCCAAGATATGGACACAAGAAGTTTTTCTTTGTTGTTGTTGTTTTTCATGTACTATGTGATTTCTCATTCTTGTTTCTTTTGTATGTTCTTCCCCCGTTAGAATTTTGAAGGAAAGCAATCGTTCAATGGCCAGAAAGAAGAATTGAGTACTGAAGGCACCTCTGTTTCAAGGACGTGAGAAGCAACGTGATGCAACCTGGAGTTATCCACATGCAGAGTGCCCGTGTGGCATGCCATTTGTGACCTAGGTCCCTCGTGGGTAAGTGAGTGCCACTGTCCCATATTGTGTGCCTGGGTTAGGCAGAATCTAATGCATGTATAGTTCTTTGCCTTCCTAAAAATGGTTATAAACAACATATTGTTCACCACAGAGTATGTAACTACACACAAGTTAAAATCTAGTCACTTAAGGATAACCTGAGAAATCTTGAAGGATGACATTCTATGTTTTGTTTCCTGTAGGTCTAAATACAAAGGTGAATTTACCAGCAAAAAGCCCATGTGTTGCTATACAATGACAGGCATTATGTTGGAGAGATTGGGAATGTGGACCCTGTAGCCAAACTCCCCACATTTAAAGCTCACATCTGTCATTTACTAGTGGTTTTCCTTTTTGGCAAATCTGTTAAGATTTCTAGATTTGGTTTCTTTATTGATAAGGCCAGGGACAGTATCCATGAGATTGAAATGGGTTATCATATATTAAGGGAAAGAACATGTGCAAGAACCTTATAAATATTAACTATTATAACTCTTTTACATAACTTTTTCACTTAACAATGAATATATTTCCACAAGAATAAATATACATGTATGTCTTAATTTTGAAAGGATATATGGAATTAAATACATTCTGTGGTTACCATGGCATACATTATTATAAGTGAGGAAGGTCTAGCTATTCTCTGCTGCAAACCACATTTGTAATTCTTTGGTAAATAAGTAACAGTGGAGCCAATAGATAATTTTTAATTTTTTTCTTTTATTCACCAGCTGCCCAGGTACCAAAAAATTATGCCTCTGAAATCTCTTGATGTCAATTCCACATGCAGAACAATCAAGTTGCCTTATATGTGCCACTCATGGCAAAAGCCCTTTTTTGCCAATAGATCATTTTTAAGGTTTTTGATTTGTATGGCCAAAATGTTCTTCAGGAAATTTTTGCCTATTTTATTTCTACTGTGTGTGAGTCTGGATCAATTCATTTTCTCCCATTCTTGCTGACATTAACTATTTTTTAAAAAATTTAAAATCTCTATTTAATATTATTGTCATTAAAATTTAAGATTTCATTATCATTAAAATATTATTGTCACTAATATTCAAGTCAAACACAAAGACTTGACTGGAAGAGAATGAGCTAATAGTATTGGTATATTTATGGGGAATTTCCTTTTCTCATGAAAGATGATGTTATGTATTATAGGTATGCATTTGTTTATTCATAAATATGTTATACACATGTATATATGGGTGAATCTATGTAATATATATATGTAATAAAATTTTCTTCATTGATGACTATCAGAAAGCAGGAAGATGTATAAAAACCTTTCTCATTCTGGGTTATAAAGGGTATGAAAGGCTGCAACTCTCACAGAAGGTATGTAGGGAGAATTTGAGATAGAGAACTTGTACCAGCTGAAATAACAAAAGGACAGGGGGCAGAATTGGGGGGCATCATGATACAAGTCCAGAAATGCTGAGCTGATCAGAATGAGAGGAACAGGAAGCTCATACCAGAATTGCTAGCAGAGATGCATGGTGCTGAGTGAACTGCAGATAGTGTTGTATGTGTATGGTGGTAGGGTATCTGGTTCGGAGACCTTGTGGATAAAATCTACTAGTTGTGAAGTTACAAGGGATGGGAAAAAGTGAAGGAAATAAAGGCCCTGGGAGAGACACCCTGTAGAGAAGTGTGTTCAGGAATGAACAATCATGGGAGGTCTTGCATGACATTGAAGTGTAGCCATTAACCTGCATGATGTATTTTTAGCAAAGTGTAAACTTGTTCAACCACTCTGGAAAGTAGTATGGATGTTCCTCAAAAGACTAAACATAGAGCTCCTCTATGACCCAGCAATCCCACTAGGACATTTACCCAAATGACAACAAAGAAGGCCATACTAAAGCTTCCAGCACAACCATGTTCATTGCAGTATTATTTACCATAGGTGAGATATGGAACCAAGTCCCCCAAAAGTGATTTTCTACTTCCATACAGCTTTGTGTGCTGTACTAAAAACAGAACCAGATAAAATAGTGAGCTTAAGAAATAGTCGACCTTTTTTTGTAGCATCTTGTTCATTGAGATGTTTCCTTATTTTTAGCCAATGAGAGCTATACAAAGAAGAAGAATGAAATTACGTAAAATGTGTGTGTGTGTGTGTGTGTGTGTGTGTGTGTGTGTGTATTTCCTTATTGGATCAGTCAACTTTCTGTGGCCATAACAGTATCTGAGACAATTCACTTAGAATGAGATAAAGTTTATCTCTGTTCACCATTTTGGAAGTTTTAGTGTATAGCTTGCTGGTTTTAGTCTATAACTTGTTGGTTGTATCAGGGCCTGCAAAGGGAGCACATCACAGCAGAAGAATGAAGCGGAGAAATCTTCCTACCTGATGTCCAGGAAGTGAAAAAGTGAGAGGAGACATGCTAGGTGATGGGAAGATGTCACACTAGGCCCCATCCCATTTCCTAAAGCGTCCACCACCTGCCTGTAACACAGCCTAGGGACCAAACCTTTAACACATAGACCTCTGTGGGAGCATCCCAAATCCAGATTGTAGCACATGCTTATGCATTCATTGTTGCTCTCCACCTTCCTTTCATCTTGTGATGGGAACAGTGGGTTTGTTTCTCTGACTGGCTCAATGGTCCATCAGAGTTCAGGGAATGTGAGCAGCAGTGGATATACATCATAAAGGAAGAGCTTTGTATTGCCCTTTCAATCACAATGTTCCCCATTGTACAACTCTCATTCATTTCCTATCTTTTACCTTATTGTTTGTGCCTCTTTTTTTTTAGCACAGACTTACAAAAAGCAAATGAAGCAATAAAGACCATTAAATATTTTTTAAAAATAAGGAAATAGAGAGCAAGATTCATATAAATGTAAGCAGACACTTGAGGTTGGTTCTAAGCCTGAAACCATGGAAGGTATCATTAGTTAAAAAGAAAGGAAGACCTAGGGATGCTGTGGGTTTTCATCTCAGAGGGAATTAAAATCTGAAAAGCTGTGCTTTGTATATAGGGAAAAGCACAGCTAGCCTCAAAGATTCTAATATGATGTGTGGAAAGACTATTTATTTCTTGATAGTGGATCCACGAGAAATGAGTAAAACTACTCCCTGAAAACAAATACACTGTCCCATATGAATTTACTTAAAATTTTCACTTGGAATGCCTTTAGTCCATTTTATAACTAAATATTCAGGGTAAAGGGAAGGGAAAGATTGAGAACTTTGTGACATCTTAACTTCTTAGTCAGTGAGAACATATGCCCTGGATGCTGCTGTCAGCCAGAATCTATTGCTTTTGTCAAATGTTTTATTAGGCTTTGCTGAGACTGTGCAATGCTTTACAAGAATGTAATTCCAGAGTCAAATTCTGATACCACTTAGGTTTGTATGATGATTCTTTGGGCTACTTCCACCTGACAATTGGTGAATTTAGATTCTAAGAGATGATTCTGTACATTTCTATCCAATTATTCCTGAAGGAAACATTTAATAGAGTTGTTGTCACCTTATCTGATGTTAATGCCACTGAGAAGTACCTAGCTATACTGGTAACTCTGTTGTGTTTTGTAAAAGTATCTTTCTATGGTTTGGAAGACAAAAGTATTTCAATGACTATAACCACATTTGTTCATCTCATTTTCTTCCAGCATAAAACCTTGTTCAGATAACGACTATTTGCCAGTCCTGGGGCTTGAACTCAGGGCCTGGCCATTGTTCCTGAGCTTCTTTTGCTTAAGGCTAGCACTCTGCCACTTGAACCACAGCACCACTTCTGGTTTTTTCTGTTTATGTGGTGTTGTGGAATGGAACCCAGGGTTTCATGCATGCTAGGCAAGCACTCTACCATTAAGTCACATTCCCAGTCCCATACAATTAATAATAACTAATTAATTAATAACTAATAATTCTGACAACTGGTGTCAATCATTCTTTCTATTTTCCGGTTGTGATTTGTAATTCTCATGCTAAAGAGGACACCTGCTCAGGTTCATAGTTTAAGTAAGGACCATGAGATCACACAGAAAGAGAGATTCAGTGTCCCACTAATTTATGATCATGGGGGTAGGGGTGGGGTGGATGAAGGATGGTATCTATTTTTGCTCACCAACATTTGCCAGTGTCTTGTCCATTGACTTGGCTGTACAAGTGCTCAAAAAACAGTATAAGGCTGGGAAGGTGGCTCAGTGGTAGAGTGCTTGTCTTGCATGCATAAGACCCTGAGTTTGATTCCTCAGCACCACATAAGCAGAAAAAGCCAAAAGTAGCACTGTGGCTCAAGTGGTAGAACACAGCCTTGAGCTGAAAAGCTGAGGAACAGGGCCCCACAACTGACAAACAAACAAAAAACAAAAAAAAACCCCCAAACTATAAAACTGGGAGAGAATAAGGGAGGGGGGGTGACACTGTTCAAAAGGAGATGTATTCATTACCTGACTCATGTAACTGTAACTCCTCTTTACATCACCTTTACAATATTTTTTTCTTTTATTTATTTATTTTTATTTTTTTATTATGAAAATACTGTACAGAGGGGTTACAATTACATGGACAAGATAATGAGTACATTTCTTATCAAGCATTGGTGCCTCCTCCTTTGTTTCCCCTTCCCATCCCTTCTCATCCTCCCCCCGCCCCCACCAAATCCTCCCGCTACCCCCACCTGCACCAAAGTTGTAAAGTTCATTTTTCAACATAATGTCTTGTGCATCTCATTGTTGCAATGGGTCCACCTTAAGACACTATGACAGCAAGATTAAAGAGTGAATGATCTAGATATAGAATTACATAGTTTGAGCTCAGTCACTTCCAAAATTTGCAAACATGGAGTGAGTGTGGTGATACATACCTGTAATTCCAGCCCTCAGGGGGTTGATCCAAAATGATCATAAATGTAAGGCCAGTCTGGAGTATGTAGTGATACCAACCAGCCAACCAACAAACAACTAACAAATAATTTAGAAGAAGGTCAGGTGCAGTTCTATTCATTCTATAATAAAGTTTCCATGATTTTAACCCAAAATAATTTAAAAAATTATCAGATGACTTTCAGGTGCATCTTTGCTTTGGAAACATTAAAAAATAACAGTATTAGAGGGTCATACATCTTAATATCAAAGACTTTAAAGCCTAACATGAAAAGCTGACAAGTTTATCTAAGTTCATGCATTTAAAAAAATTTTTCCCTGCTCCTTCAAATCCTCAAGTTTGAGTTACCTTTTTCAGTCTATGATCACAGTTTTATCTAATGAACCAACAGCAGTGACTGGTCTGGATGTTGATCCTGCTCTACTCTTGTCTTTGAAACTCCTAAGCAAGTCCTGAGGATGCCCATTCTTCAATAGATCATTGTTGAGAATAGACACGGTCCAAGAGTTGCTAGGAGCTTCATTCCACATAATGAATCATTGCTAATGCCACAGCTGGCACTCTGAGCATGCTCCTGCAGCCCAGATGAGGTGACACCAGCTGCTTAAGTCCACCTAGTTTAGAACTCATTCTTGCATTGATACAATTAAAATGAAAATAAGATGGTTTTGCAAGTAAGGAGTTAGCTCCCCTGCAAATGTTTGCAGTGTTGGTAGTTGGAGTTCATGTCCATTTCTTATAATATTTGCTATATTTGGAATATTTCAAAAATATAATATTAGAAATAATATTAGAAATACATTATGAGTAATCTCTATCATGTTTAGGTAAGAAAATCATTTGTCCATTGGGAACTTAACGTAAGTTTGGAGATGAAGAAAAAGAGAGTAAAACTATATCATTATTTACATTTTATTTATTTTTACATATTTTATTTGATATATGAGATATATCATATATCACAAATCATATATGTGACATATGATATATAT